GTTTATATACCTCTGGTCGTATAAAGCATGTATTATATTTGTATAACACATTTAACATCCGTATTTCATGAATTAAATTGTAACTTAAATATTATATAGATATTTATTTATTTTTAAATAATTGAATATATACTTTTTATGTTAACATTTACAGACCAAAGCCGAAACAACTATATTATGACGAACATGCCCTTTTGTCAGCTCGCCGTGGAACTATTGATATCTATTGTAATAAAATACTTTGTCATTTAAACAATTCAGGAAGGCATAATATGACAAACGCTACTCTGACGATATAATTTGTCACTTTTGTGTCTCTTACATCCCTATATGGGATGCCTATTTTGACAAACTTAATTGTGACACGAAATATTTGTCACATTACTCACTTTAAATGACAAAATATTCTAACAACAGGAAATTGTCACTGTTGAGTCTCTTACATCTCGATATGGGACGCCTATTTTGACAAAATTAATTGCGACACGATAAATTTGTCACATTACTCACTTTAAATGACGACTTATTCTGACCAATTTTATTTTTGTCACATTAGGCAAACCAAATATGACATATATCATTTTAGTCATATCACCGTACCTATTGTGACAAACAGAAAATGACAAAATAATTTTTTTGTCCTAATAGGCCAAATTTGTTGTAGTGAGGGTTGGCATACTCTCAACATTAGCGGGGGTACAAAAATTATTGACACATACAGAATATTTATGATCATTCAACACCAGTGGGGAGTTTTTATTTGCGTAATATGAAAAACCCATGGCTTCATTTGAAAGCATGAAATGTAGTTTTATGGTGCCCACTGTTAGAGAAGACAAAATGATTTTAAAGATTTGGAAGAGATTTTCATCATTTTGTAAAAGAAGAATCATCTATGCAAAGTCCCATATAAAGATTGGTAGTAGTCACACAATGTTCCAGATAGGTGAAATACAAATGACCTTTATTCCTTATTATGAAAGCAAAGACTCATACATGGCTTCAACACGGTAAAACATCTTGATGTTTATTTAATAAGATTCATCTTGAATCAAGCTTTATATCCTGAGGTGTCTACTAATCTTCATGATTTGGGAATGAGCTTTTGTTATTGCCATGACGATTTGGATCTCCTTCAAACTTCAGCCAACCGGCATTCAACATCTCTTGCACTTTTATTTTCAATTTCCTACAACTGTTAGTAGAGTGTCCCGCCTCTCCAGAGTGGTAGTTACAACGTTGCTCCGGTTTGTACTAATGTTGGTATGGGGGTTGTATAGTTTCACATGGTATTGGAGCGATTAAACGTTCTTAGAGTAGGCGATGGAATAGTTTAGTATATGTGATTGGAATGAGATTGATTTGCTTTTTATCCCTCCCGGGAACATTGCATGATATTGGTGGCAAATTTCTAATCATTGATCGATCGATGAAGCTTGGAAGTTATAATTTGGGCACAGTATTCGCAACGTATGAATGAACTTGAATGTGAGAGTGGCACTTTAACATCTCCTCTTTTGATGCTCTTTGTGTCGAATCGACTTCCATTTCCTTTTTATTCTCTTTCGATCTCATAGGAGCTTTTGAATTTCCCATCTTACCTTGCTAAATCCCTTTCTATATTCTTTCTCCAATTACCAACAAATCTCCAAAGTTGGTTGTGGTAACTCCCAACATGTTGTTGTAAAATGGAGGCGTAAATGTCTCGAGGAAAATTGACACCATTTCTTCTTCTAGCAGTGGGGGTTGGACACTACTGGCTTTCTCTTCCCACCACTGAGCAGAGTCTTGAAAATATTCACTCTCCTTCTTCTCCATGTATTGCAAGTCTCTTTTATTCGGTGTTAGACTTTGAGTGGCCTTATGGTGTCTCATAAACTCATTAGCGATATCTCACCATCTTTTCATTTTTGTTTTCGTGAGCTGGTGGTACCAATCCAAGGCTAAACCCTTTAGACTGTATTGGAAGCATAGCGTCATTAGCTTCTTATCTTGAGTATGGTTAGCCATTATGTAGCAGTATGAAACCAAATGGCTTTTAGGGCAGGTAGTGCCATCATATTGTTCAAACTTCGGCATTCGAAATTCATGTGGGAGCAGCATATATGAGACTTCATGTAGCTGTGGTGTGCTTGTGGCCTCATATGATTCATTTTTCTTAATATGTTCATCCACCCACTCATTGTTGCCTTTCAATCTGTTGATGATCTCGTGATTTTCTAGATTTTCTAAATCTTGTGGGTTATCTTGTTTCGATTATTCTGGATCTTCTTTATCGTGCACGTTATTTGAGGTTATGTTGTCAAAACTTTTTTCTTGATGTTCCTTCACGGTGTAGTTGGTATATATCTTTGTCACCGGGTAACACATCTCCATATTTGACTTCCTCTACCTTCTCTTTGTTGGTCAATATCCTCAAGATCATGCTAACTTCCTCTTGCATTCCCGCGAGTCCCATCATCCTTCTTTTGATGTCTCCCAATTCCTTCTGGATTAACTCCATAGTGAGCTCAGACTTGGGTCTTGGTGGAGTACTTAAAGGTTCGACAATGTCCTTGTGGATGAGAAATTTTAGAAACTTTGGTCATGGTTTTTATTTTAAATTATTCCCCATTGCTATATGAGATGAATGTATGATATTCATGCTAAATGATATGATTATGCACATGCAAGGTGAATTTCTGGTGGATGTATGAATGGTTGCAACTTTACCTTCATGATTGGTTTTGAATGAGTGCATAGCGAATTAACGAAATAATGCTAATGTCATGATTTTTCATAAATATTTGCATAGCATTTAACCACTTCATTCAAGAATAAGTGATAAAGCACAATTATATAATAAACATACATGAATCATAAACACATCATCCTATTTAGGTAAACCTAAAAATTTTGGAGGGTTTAACGACGCGGTTTAAGGTAGGCTCTGGGATATGTTTTGAGCAACTTAAGCTGACTATATGTTGGGTAGGAGTTCACGAGAATTAGACTCCCAAGTCGTATCTCGTCAAAACCCTTTTGAGTTAGCTATACACCTCAAATCTACCACGGATTTTATTTCAACTTGGTTAGAAAGTTTCACGCTATTCTCCTACTATTGTAGAAGTCACGGTACTCCTTTCATTTTATGAAGGTAGAGCTCGGGTATAGAGCTTTGGTGTATGAATGCAGATAATTAAATGCACAAACAATATAATCAACACTCAACAAATTTAAGATGGTAAGGAAGCTTATCGATTTAATTAATGTAGCTCGACACTCAATGGTCCCCAGCGAAATTGCCACTGTCATGACCGCCCCTCGAGTTCGGGGGACCCTTCGCGATATTTCTCGGATTCGCCATCGATCTTATTTTGTGGTGGATGGAACACCTTTTGGTCTGGTTCCAACCTTATGGTCGGAACCGGGATTTGGTTGCGAAATTTAGAGTTCTGGGTTCGTGAGTACAGTTACGTGTGGGGAAGTGTATTCACACCCCACAACGCTCAAAATTTGGTACTACTTAAATTGATAAGTATTGAAAGGTTGAGTGTTTTATTATTTGGCTTATTACGTATTTAATTATAAGATTCAATTAGTTAGGTGTTTATTATTACAAGTTGATCATACGCCTATTGACGTAATTCTCAAAGGTTATAAAAGGTATTTTTGTTTATTTGAACTCGAACCTATTGATTGTCTACGTACCCGAGTAGTCGTGATCAAAGTTCACGTAGTTTGATTAAATTGAGAGGTTTAAAATGTGATCCTAACACGTTCCATTGATCGTGATTAAGAAGGTAATTTGAGTTGCTAGGAAGTGTATTTATGATGTTTCATTTTAGTGTTTGAATTTTAGATTATTTTCGAAAGAATTTCATATATACGATCGTCATGATTTATCGACCGAGATTTTGTATTAAGGGAAATTTATAGGTAAACAAGTACATATATGAAAATTAGAAGCCCAAACGAGGGTATTAATTAAAAATGTTAATATTTCGAAATATTTAGATATAATTGTAATTTGGTGAAAACAATAAGTCTTAACACGATTAGTTGATATGGATTTTTGTGTATTCAGCTTAATTACTAATAAAATTAAACGAAAGAAATAGAGTTATCAATTGTCAAAAAATGTGACGACATTTTGGACATTTCGGGAGGAGTATTTATTCGTAAGGATGGGAGATTAACCTAACCCTAGTTGCATTTGCCTAATCTGCAATCTCTTACTTCCTCCACTCTCTTTCTCTCTCTCTCACTCATTCTCTGGCGAACAGAATGAAGAAGGAAAGGCAACCTTCTTCGATCTGCCTCTTTCCTCTCTTCTTCTGTTCGACTCTTCGCCCTCTTTCACTCAAACCTATCCTCTTATGCTCTTCTCTCTCAATTCCTTTCAGGTACTGGCGAGAAGAATAGAAGATAGAAAACGCCGGCGATAGACGGGGAGAGTGGCGACGAAGGTGATTGACGCCGCCGCCGTTGATGATCGGAGGTAGTTATCGGTTTTGCATGTCATTTTTGGGCTTCTTAGGGTTCAGGGTTCTGATGGTGTGTTTTCTTTATTCTTGTTTTCAGGTTGATAGAGGATTTTCTGATACCGGGTAAAACGAAGAAAAGGTCGAGGGCTTTGGAACCTGATGGTGACGAAACTCGACGGAGGAGCAGAAGGGAGTTCAAAGCGAAGGAATAAGGGAGCCACCAACGATGACAAAATAGGAGGAACCCGACGGCAGGTCTAGAATTTTGCTAGCCGCGGCGGCGCCAAGGTCTCGCCGGCAAGAATAGTAAGATCCCTGAACCTTTTTTTATTTTGTTTTCTGGTAGATTTTTGGGTTTCGATTTCTGATATGCTTTCTTTATTCAAATTTTTTAGATTTTAGGATGGCGAATAGAGAGGGGAAAAAGGGCCGCCGCCAGCAATCCCAGATATCATCGGCGACGATAGCAATGAGGATAAGGAACAAAGAATGAATTTCTCAATTCAAGTTTTTTCAAGATTTCAGAAATGATAGGTGATTTCCTCTTATACTCTACTCTTATGGCTACAAAAGGGAGTTTTTGAAAGTGGAGAATGGGTTTGAAATTGATTTCCTCTTAGTTAATTTGTGGGGTTTTTAAGACGATGCGATTTTGGGTTTGTATGGGTTACTGTGATGGTGAGGGATTTTGTTTGGTGGTTTTGGTATTAATGATTGGTTTATTCCATTTGGGTTATTCCGTCTGGATGTTGGTGTTTTGAGTGCTTGATTCTGGAAATGGATAGTGTCTCTCTTTTATGATGGGTTTGAAATTTGGGGACTTTTCTTGGCTTGAAATCATTTATTGTTTTGTGGTTTATTATGCTTGCTAAATCTGAGTTTGACATTAGCTTGTTATGATATAAGTGGTGGAATACAATAAACAGAGTGTTTAAGCCAAGGAAAAAAATGCAATTATAGAAAATACATATCTAGATGAAATAGATGTAGACAAAGATGAAATGAACTCAAGTATGAAAATATTAAAGTGAAATGGATGAAATGTATGTAGGCAAAAAGTAGGAAACCTCAAAATGTGTCATCTTGTATTTTGCTTGGAGTGGATTGAGTATCATTCCTAACATTATTAAGCCTATATTGTAATTTGACTAGGATTGATTTAGTTTGGTGCCCTTTTAAATCAACTTGGTCATCTTGTAGTTTGATTGGGATTGATTGAGTTTTGATTTTGGAAAGAACTCATAATGAGATGGTTTAAAGATGATGGTGGTTGGTTTTAGTTGGCTACCGACCTTTACACTTGTAGTTTGATGATGTTTCTGACCCTCTTTTGTCGTCTTCTTCGTTTTTTTGTTTTGTTGATGTTGACGGCAGGGGTAGGATTCTTGTGGTGAGGGATCTTTTAATCCCTTTTGGGATTTTTTTTACTTCTATTTGTATTCTAGTTTCAAGTAAGAGGTGGAAGAAGAATAAAGGAAGAGGCGAAGGAAGGAAGTAAGTGTACGTTAGAAGAAGGGTGCTAGGAAGTTTTCTTGTATGTTTGTATCTTCTTTTCTATTTGGAATTTTGAGGGAGAAGGAGCAGAAGGAAGGAAGGAAGCAGCAGTGAGAAGAAAAGGCCAAGGGAATGTTGTTGTCTCCGTCCCCTTCCCAATAGCCGAAGGGCTCTTTTTATAGTAAAAAAATTGTATAGGTGGCACGATGTAATTGGCTTTGAGGGTATGTAGGAGCGCCCTCTAGTGGTAAGTAGGTTGTGGATTGGGTTGGATCGAACCAGCTTGGTTCCGATGGTATGGATCGGGTCGGTTCAGGCAGGGTTCAACCAATTTGATTGAATTGGAACAGTTGACTTTGGGCATAACTTCCATAGTGGACTTTTTGGGCTATGTTGACTTGGGCTTGATTTGTGAATTAGGCTTAGGCTATAGGCTTTGGCTTGTGGCCTAATGTATTAGAAATTGTTGTTTATTATGATTAAATGTAGGGGTTATTTGTTCTAATTGTGTATTATTTGTTAATTGTGATTGCCTATTGGCAACGCTTTTTGTAATGCAATTACTCAATTAGTTTTATTTATTGTTTCAAAAATGATGCTCAAGAAAATGAAGTTGAAAGTCTATTTTTTTTGCAGCTCAAGTTAGTTATTGCTAAACATATCAGCCCAAATTTAGATAACTCGACCAATGAGCAAAAGCAAATTGTGTCTATGGAATATGCCAATTGTACATGTTTTAAACGTTAATCACATAAAGAGATGTTTAAGAATGATTACTGCCAATTCAAAACAAACCAAATACTCTTTTAGCCAGGTGATAGAATTAGTAAAGCACACGGACAAAATGTAGTGTCTACACTCTGCAAAGAGGCCATGGTCCAGCAGGCTAATGGGTCCAACACTTATAATCATTGTTCATTCGATAATGAGAGCTTCTATAGACATTTGTTTGATATGGTTGTCGATTATATTGATAGTTTTTGCGTTGAAATCACGATTCGATGGATAGCTCTAACCAACATAATCAAAATAAGTTGCTTAGGATTCACATATAGTTCCACTTCCACAGTCTCATCCTACATGATCGTCTTTACCATACCACTGGCAGACAAATACTTGTGATATAAGTGGATTTTTTTCCATATTCAAAAGATGGAGTTTCCTTCTCAACTCCTTTATTTGTAAACTGATGGAAGTGAAGGATCTTCCATTTCTCGGACTGGCTTGAGAACCATTGGAGAAAACCTCCTAGATCAATTTCAATATTTTGAAACCTTAGGTGAAGGTGTTCCAGAGCCTGTAAATTTATCGCGATATGTCCCTCTTGACGATATGATTTACCAACATTGTGGTATTGAAGTCTAGACCTTTTTCTGAAGGTTTCAAGAGTTGTTCTTGCCCAAACCCATGGTGATGCCATGATCTAAGAAGCTCTTGGATTCATTGTCAAGCCTCGTACATAGTTTTAAAATTCATGCCTAAAGTGAGAACTATGGTCTCTTAAGTCAACAGTTTTGCATGGAGGGTAGAAATCTTCGATGAAAGCTTGTAACAGATCATCCCACAATGTGGAATTCACATGGAGCTTGCCATTTAGCTAGCTCTTAGTCTTCCCCTTATGGAGAATAGGTTAAGGCGTAGTAGTATTGTTCTATCTCAACAATTAGGTGTAATATATAATCACATATCTCCTGAAATATTTTGATATGGTTGAAGAGATTTTCACTATCTCGTTCCTCAAAATATCCAACATTATAGACCATATGAATTTTGGAAGTCTGTAGTTTCAAATTTGAGACATTTATAGGTGGAAGGACGGTGTTGAAACTGATGTTAGTAGCTTGAGGCCTAGTTTATTGGTATGGAGTTCGTGGATTCATGCCTATTGGGGTTTCGATTTCAGAAGGTGCCTTGTTGCTTTCTACCTCAGAACACTGATCGCAGAGATGGTTAAGGCAAAGATCTACGCGATACTTTTCTTAGGCACTCTCTTTCTAACTGGTGGTAACACGATCTTGAGAGTTTCTTTTGAGTTTAAGCATGTTTGTTCCAACCCTAATTCATGATCAGGTCATACACAGAAGCTACCTTACAAAAACGCTTAAGCGAGGAACTCTTGTAGAATGGCGTCAGAACTTCCCAAATATGCCATAAAAGGGCGCTCTGGCCGTCAATTTGGGGATTCTATGTCTAAGTTTAGACTAACTACAACTTGTAAAAAATAAAGCTACTAGAAAACAACAGAAGAAGAATCAGAAAGTGAAAAGAAATGTAAATAAGCACAAAAGGACTAAAAATAAAAGACTCCCACTTTAAACAAAAAAAAAGGGCAAAGACCACCACAACACCTGAACTATCGAAAAAATGTCACTTGTGTCTTATTGTATTCAATATTCCATTTATATCATGAACTATTTTTCTGTTAGTATTGACCGGCGTTGACTGTTAGTATTTAACAGAAAGTACAGTCAGCATTGATGTGGCATCTGACATTGAATTTTTAATCTCAAATTTTATTTATTTATTCACAAAAAAATAAATACATGAAGAAATATCAAAATGAAAAATCAAAATATACAAAAAATGAGTTACCCAAAAAAAGTACAAAAATAAAATTGAAAAATCATTAATCTCGAACCTAGTCGGCGTCGTCCCCTTTCTCTGCTTCTCTTGTTCATTTCTCTAATTCCACTCCCAAAACAATTTTGAAAATCTTCTTGCATTTCCCTCATCCTTGAAAACTATCGCATTGCGGCGAAATGCACAGATCTGTCGCGAGGAGCGGAGTTCTGGAAGAAGGAAGAAGAAAAAACCAATCTCTTCTCCGGGCGCAACAACAGTAAGAAATGATATTTCGTCAGACTGCTTGTGAGAAAAAATATGCAATGACGCCCTTCTGTAGATGTCGTTATTAGATTACTCACCAAAGCTGTACACCGATCCCTCTGTTTTGAGAATAACCAATAGAAGGCGGCTAGGGTTTCTAGTAGGGTTCGATTAGCAGGGGACGATTGGATTGAGGGTCAAATTTGTGTTGCAAGATTCGATTCTTTCTTTTGCCTCAACACCAACAGAAAGAGCAATGGGAAGCACCAAAACCCCATTATCATCCTTTACGATTTTTTCCCAAATCGACACGATCGGACCAGGGAGAAGCTGTCAATACCACTTGCTAGTTGTTGTTCTGATTTGATTTTTTTCTCCATAATCCTGTTCTTAGGCGGTCGGGGAAGATCTGTGGGAGAAGACCCTTCTTCTCCTACAAAACCCAAGCATATAGATGGGAGTTCGATCTTGCGGAGGTGGTCATTGGTGGAGCCGCTGTGTCGGGAGGTTTTCCTCTCTTTTGATGGAGATTGGAATGGCGTGAATGGTTTGGAGAAGAAGGGTGAATTGTAGGGGCAAAGGACAGAGAGGAAAGGAATTTTTTTTTCTTTTTGATTACTTTTATAAAAAGTAATTGTTTTTAATTAAAATCTAACGTGTCAATGATGTGACATTTATGTGGCATTTATGAATCGTTAGGATACAAATAGCACTAAATATCATAGTACATGACATGAATGGAATATTTTATACAATAGGACACAAGTGGCATATTTTGATAGTTCGGCTGTTGTAGTCGTATAAATGCAAACTTACCAAGCAGTTACTAGGATCGTATTCTCTCCACGACTTTCTCTTTTCACTACTCGGTCAATAAGGATTTCGCTCTTGAGTTTGAAAACATATTTAGGGCTTGAGGTGCCCTTGGGTTGAGGTTTTCCTTAATTTATTTGAAATAACATAAAAAAGAAAAGAATGGAGAAAAATGAACGCGAGAACCAGTGAAGGAGATTTTGCAAAAGCAAGTTTCTCCTAGAGTTTTCTTAGACTCTCTCTAGAATGATAAGCGACATATACATAAGTGACTGAGAGGATCCGCACGGATTTCTCTGATCACTATGCTTCTACATCCTCCCATTTAATATGGATTCCTCCTTTAAGGAAGTATTAAGGAGACATGTGGGTCAGCCAAATAATTGTATATGCTATGTTACGTAGCACAGGTTTTTGTCATACATGTATTGCATCCGATGAAAAATTTATAATAGCTTCTTTGTTACAATCCAACCAATATAATCTAAAAAAACATAGATATCACATAAATATAGAAGGGAGAATACTCAAACATCCATATATATTATCAAAATTTGACTATTATATTGTCTAAGGAAACTCTAGGGTTCTCCAACTTACACAAATAACGAACTAGCCCGTCATGGGGATAGAAGCTATAAAGTTTATCAGTCTGAAAGAGGAGATACCTAGCTCCTGTGAAATGGTGCCCAAGGCTCCATTTTCCCGTTGATTCGTGTTCTAATGAGTTACTCTAGTGATAAGGTGTCATGAATTGTGGCCGATGGTACACTTTATAGCCCTTTGCATAAGGTTTTCTAATAGATATTGTAGGATGGGAACTCTTCTACTCACATATCTCCAAACTATCTTTAGCTTAGCCTCTAAGTAGATTTGAGATTATCCACACCTTCTAGAAAATGGCACCTTTGATGCCATTTTTGCATATGGTCGACAATCTGGGCCGCAATTTCTGGACTTGGGTTCCGACTCCATTTATTACTTCCAATAGGTGGATCTTGATGTCTCCAGCTCATACGAAGTGGTCCACCGGAAGATACACAAAACATTACCCAAAGGACATCAAATATAAAAACATCCCTAGTGAGACACACCTTTGAGAAATTACCAAGCAAATCCAAGTCAATATGACAATGAATATCAAGCAATCATGCAAAACATGTCATGAAACGAGGATATGAAAACGTATATTTCACGTGCATGAGTCTTGATGATTATTTCGTTACTAATTTTAATTAATGATTTCACACAATGAGATTTTGGGCCTTCAACTACATACCAATTCCTTCATTTCAATGTTTTAAATTGATATGTTGTAATGTCATAAACTAACTGGTCTCAAGAACTCGAATTGTTGGGAGAGGTCCATATATGATACTTATTCACTTCCTTACACACCTCCTCAAACGAAAGCCAACTCATGGGCTTGAAGTTTGCACTGGCCCATATCATGTGCGATGAGGCCCAAGGAGGGTCTCAAACTATCCAGCACGGAGCAAAACTAGAATCGTAGTAACAGAGTAAGGACTTTTGCGGATAAAACGAACCAAGCTAGCAACTTCAACACTTAGGAGAAGAGGCTGGTTTGGGTAGAAGAACACCACGAGATCAAGGATGGTTGGATTTGATCTCGAGGTACGCAAGTCTAGAATCTCAATCCAAGACCAAACTTAAGCACTCGTGCTCAATGGCAACTCCTCGGAGCAATATTGATTCACTCAACTTAAAATGTGTGCTTACAATTGATGAAAAGGCTATTTATAGCAGAGAATAACATAACCTAACCCTAATAGAACAATGAAAACTAATTCAAGTGAAACAAGGAAAGCAACTCGCACAAAACATAAAAACTTGCACGCCAAGTAACTGTCTTCTTCTCTAAGTAAGCTGTCCAGGAAACAGCCTTTGGTGTCATCTTTAAGCTCCTAGTTCATAGCCTTCTGGGGAAATTCGAAATCAGCCAATTGCTTCCCTTGGTTTAGAAACTTGCCTAATTTCATATGAAACTCGAAGCACCACTTGGTTGCGTCCCAAACTCCATGAATTGTGCTCCAAAGTTGGTATCAACAACACTGGTTTTACCTTAGCCAAATTCTGGCAGATTTCGGTTTGCAGGATAGAGTTTTGATGACTTCTAAACACGTTCTTCCTGGCTTCTCCTTGATATCCCAAGTATACCAACATGTATAGGAACATCACTACTTTAAAACAAGACCTCAAACTCGTATTTCCAATGAGCCAAGCGAGAGAACCCTCCATCCATAGTAACGTCCCCAACACGGTTTCCATACTTAGCAATTTTCCGGCTTGGCTTCCTTCAACTTGATCCCACTTTTGATTGATGAAATGGAACTTGTAGGGCTTTGAACTTGAAATCATATCAATGTGCTTAAAACAGTGGTTAATATTGGAGGTCATGAGAACTTGAACACGTAACTTCAAGGGCAAACCAGTTCTGATACCATGTCATAAATCAACTGTTCCCAATAACTCTAATTATTGGGAGAGGTCCATAAATGATAGTTAACCACTTCCTATAAAATTCCTTATGACTGATAATCGGTTCGGTTATAACCGGAATCGTTTAGTCGGTTATTGGTTAACCGTTAAGCACTTTGTGCTTACCGTTAACGGTATCGTTTTAATTAGTCCGTTAACCGTATAGTCGATTCTTAGTTATTTTGTCGGTTAACCGGATAACCGTTAACCAAATGATTCGGCAAGGTTATACCAAAATAACCAATAATAGACCTCATTTTTTTCAATTGTGAAAATTTCTATAATCTCTCATACGTACACATACACATGTGTTCTTTTCTTAAATTGTTATCATTGAATAAAAAATAATTGAACATAGATATATCAATACATAATCAACTCAATCCAACACATGTACACTGTAATACCATTCTACCGTCAAATTTTATTAACGAAGCATACAATGATAAGAGACCCAACAACAATTACTCAAATCGTAAACCCCACCAAATTACATGGAAGCTTAATGCTGATTGTTGTCGAGCAACTGTGCGTAAGTCTGACTTTCTACTGTGCTCCTTCTAAAATTTTCCTTTCAATTATTTCATTTGAGTCTAAGTCACTATTACAACTAGAATAGGCAGGGGGTCTTGTAAGCCATCAAACAATCCATTATTTTCGGCCTAAATTTGACTACAGAATACCGACCGTTTACTATTTAATCGGTTATCGATTACACCATTAACGAACCGTTTACCAGCCCTAAAATTGAAATATATTGTTACTGTCTCACTTGGGCTAAATTGTAAGTTTGGTCACTTGAATTAATAGTAAAGTTCACGTTAGCCACTGTAATTACTTTATTCCATCCGTAGTCACTTAAATTAGGTTAACAGTCCAAGTTTTGTCACTGTTGTTACTCTCCATTAACTTTTGCTAATGTGGCGGTCAACTCTAATAGTTGACTGCTAAATGAGTGACGTGGCAGTTATTTTTTTAGATTTGACTGTTAAATGAGTGACAAAAATATAATATAATTATTTTATTTTCAACCTCATTATCATAAATATTAAAAAATAAAACCTAATTATTCACGTGGGCTCATCCTTACCAATTTGCCAAACGATGCATACAGCTATTGGCATAATCACGTGGAGACAACAAGATTATCTCATATTTAGACGATTATCTCAAGACTTTTTGTCACATTCAATAGATATCGTGTCCCGGAGATGGATCATGATGGAAAATACGACCAACAATGTCATTAGGTGATGACGACGACGTACGAATTGACTTTGTTTCCAAATTATAAACAAATATTGATTCTAACAGCTAATGAAACTTTCGTACAAATCCATTTTGTGGAACTGTCATTTTGATAGAAAACCAGTGTTTCTATAATAATAACTAAGTTACCGAACCGTGGAATGGGTAGAGAGTTAAAGCTGAAAGAGCATTTATTTGTGTCGAACTCACAATAATATTTATCATGTAGCTATTCGCCTTAAATCAATTCACAATTTAAATCATTTACGAAAATGAAAAACAAAAACTATATAAGGGAACCAACTTGTAAAGACATTCTCAAATCATCATTCTATTTATTCCTCGTCGTTAGATATGACTGCACGTATTCTTTTTAACTTTGTTGCATCTCCACCAATAATAATGTCTTCAACTCTATTAGTGAGACATTTATTAGCACTATCAATTGCATCTTCCTTCTTCTCTTGTATTTCAATACTTTGCGGAAAATATTTCTTCAATGCATAAAACCACCTATTGGTCGAACCAATTGTGTTTTATGTAAAATTAATTACTTATCCTTGTGTCTTACTATTTTAAATCTCAAATATTTTATTGATCATTGTCAGAAACAATATATATTTCTAAGTTAAGATGTTTAATCACTAATTATTGACAGTTTGTTATTTATCCCATAGGCTTATGTTGAAAATTTTCAGCATATACAATGATTTCTCAATTATCTTATGTTTACTCATTCACAATGTGAAGGTTTGTAAACTCTCGATGAAAGACATTATGCCTCGATTTTCAACCACAATACTCAAATTTATTATCTTATACAACATACGTTAGCTTATTATTCTCAAAATTAGGAATAACTCTCAATCATTGCTTATTGACCCTCTCAGTATATCATTGTATTTCTTACCGAAAATGTTTGATCTCTGATAAATTTTGGGGTTGTTTGTTTCATGGATTTAAAAATGAGGGTTTTGGAATTTAAAAATCCAATGATTTATCAAGGGTTCAAAGTATAAACCTTAGTTG